AATAAATCAATAATTTAATTAGGACTTCTAAATCTTCTTTCCTTTTTAAGTTAATTACCATCCTCATTGTTTGTTAATACTCATTTATTCTTTTCAAAATTTGTCTGAACAGGTACGTACGTGCTTGCTTACATACAGTATATACATACCTCTTGCTATTTTTTGTAATAAAATTGATCTCTGTGAATTTTTTCTAAAACAGGGCTTCATATTTTAAAAACTATAGTTATCGAATTCCTATCGCATATATAAAATGTATATTATATCAATTCTTGAAACAAGAATCTTGTTTGGATCCTACAGTACTACCCTAAATATTTACGATAAAGATAAATAATTGGTAGCATTATTAGAAGGCTTGCAACTATATATATATTCAGAATTTTAATAGCATTAGTACACATTTTTATAATGTCAAGTTATAAAGAAATTGAAGATACAATTAAAACATTACCTGAATTTTATAAACTTGAATCTAAGACTTTTCTTTCTTTAAAAAAATTAATCATACCCAATATCAGAAAGAATAAGTTTAATCCACCAAGAGCACAAAATTGTTTTATGATTTTTCGAAAAGATTTTACTGCTTATTATAATTCTTTAAATCAAAAAGGAGACATAGACAAAGTTTCAATTTTAGCTAGTAAGTTATAGAAAGGAAATTATGTTTTCAAGTTATGAGATAGCATTGACTTTAAAGAAATAAAACCAATTTATCAAAGAGTATCCGAAATTGCAACAAAGGTTCATAATGAATTGTTCCCAGATTACAAATATAGTCCTAGAAGAAAACTTTTTTTAAAGATACCTTTGGGTTATAATTATAATCCTTACTTTTTTCAACAACCTGAGATTAATCTTTATTATATTCAACAACTTGATATAAATTTAGAAAATATTAGCAATCAATTAATTAATAATCATTCTTTGAAATCTTTGAAATCTTTTAATATAAAAATATAAGTTAGTATAGTTAACTATTCATTTATATAATATATTATTATTCTCATTGTATTCAGTGTAAATAAAAAAGTTTATTGATTTTTACATTATCTTTCTAACCTTCATCTCCCTCAAGTTTTAATTTTTTTGAACAAATATAATCTATTTGTTTTAATAAAGTGAGTGTAGTTTTCATTATATATTATTTCAGTAGAAGTAGTTTGTCTTGGTTGCATTTGCATGTGATAGCTGAGCATCTTATATACGTAAATTTTTTATTGTATTACATATGAAATAAAGAAGTGCTTTTTTAAAATTAGAAAACGAAATGAGTGAATAAATAATTTTAAGTCATATATATATTATTTTTAATTATACAAGGCCATCAAGTCTTCATGTTTCTATAAGTACAGTAACAAAACTAATGAAGACTCTAACTTTAGCATGTAAAATTATCGTGCTTCTTTATTATGTACAAATTGTTGATGAAGGAGAATAAAGTATTTGTCACTCTAAAAATTATAAATTTATTAAACTAGCTAGGAGAAAAGACTTTATTTACGTATAAGTAAATAATTTTGATAAAAGTAACAATGTCCAAAAAACTTATTTTGATGAAAACAAACAAATATTATCAACTCTATTTTTATTGTAAATTGTTTCTGTTTATTATTCTATCTAGACAATTTCAATGCCAACCTAAGGAAATATTCACCATTGCAACATATATTTTAAAACTAGTTGCATGAAGCACAATCAAATATGTAGTAAATGCAGTTTTATTTATCGTAAAAAACAAAACTGTAAAAGATACCAAAAAATACAAAAATCAATAGAAAAATAAAACTAAAAAACATTAGTAAATTTTGGAAACTGATTGTAATTGATTATAACAAGAATATACAATTTGTTTTAGCTAATATTTAGGAATCTAAAATTTACATAAGCTAAAACTGTTTCTACTTTTATTATTTGAAATAGTTTCTGGTATGTATGTTAATTTTTCAAAACTACAGAGGACCTCCAGAAAGAAAGTGAAAGAGCTCCATATCATTACCTTTCAAGTACAAATTAGGGTTGAATAGATTAGAAGCTTCTG